CCATCCCTGACTGTCTTCAAGGCCAGGCTGGATGAGGCTTGGAGCAACCTGGTCTAGTGGAAGATGTCCCTGCCCATGGCAGGGGGTTGGAACTAGATAGTCTTTAAGGTCCCTTCCAACCCAAACCATTCTGTGATTTTATGATTCTGTCTTTCAGAGTAATCTTAGGAGATTAAAGGAATTTTTTTTTTCCCCAGAACAGGTAGGAAACTTCTAGAATTTGTTGCCAAAGGAGGCTGCGGAGGCAAACACCATCAACATGTTTAGAAAGGGACCAGAAAAAAAGATCAGAGCTACCAGGCCCACAAACAGAAACACTCTTCTAAATTCCTTAAGTGAATGACTGTGGGCTGGGACAGCAGGAGGTTAAAATTCGGTGGACAATGACAAGGCTCACATGTCCTCCTGAAATAGCATCTCCCACTGCCAGAGACAGCACTGGGGCACATGATATTTTTTTTTTTTTTTTTTTACATTTTTAAGGTTTGTAGGAAATGTGAGCTTGGAGGGAGGAAAGGCAAGCAATGTCCCTCTGGGGGCATGCAAAATTACCACATTATCTTTCTACTTAATAACATCACACAAAATAGGAAAACTGAGTAAACTGTAACAGACAATTTAGTGATTTTCATAGCAGGGTAAGTACAGAAGATACAAAGATATTTGCAGTCTTTCAGTTATCAGTGCAGTGGAAAAGAAAGTACCTAGATAACCTTTTTGGGGAAAAAAAGTATCAAGATCTGTATGAACAGGATTTCAGATACTATTTATAGAGCCTTTATAAAGCTTTTTGACAAAAAAAAGAAAAAACTTGCTGAACTTGAAATGCAAAGTAACTAGAAATAATGGCATGAAATAGCATCTCCATTTTAATACACAGAATCTAAACTGTGTAATTAATATCTCAATCTCTCTGCACCTCTATCCAATACATATCTTGGTGAAAACCTTAACTGGTTAGACAGCTGGGCAAGAGCTGCACTTGTGAGCACACCAAACCTCAAACCCCTTCCCTTTCTCACAGCATATAATGGGAAAACCCTGCTTAAGCTTCCAGAGGAAGCTCTGTAGACACCTTCCCTGCACAATACCAACAAAAAAAAAATTGGGACGTGTCCTACCATTTTCAAGGCTGGAGAATCTTGAACTTCCACCGTTGTGATGTAGAACCACAACCTTTTATACTGGCCAAACACAAACGTATGAAGCAATTTGTTTTCATCTGTCAGGCAGCACTTTCGCAGCAACAGACTCCTCAGCTCAGCTGTTATGGACGGATAACACCAAACCCACAAAGCATCTCCGTTGGTGTCTTTTTCTATGGTGGAAAGATGTTCACTGTGAGAATGTCAAACAGCAGCAAGGAAGTAAATTGATGGGTTAATCACGTCTTGTTTCCTGGAATCAGATTAAAATTCCACCTCACCCTGACCCTAGACATCCAGTCACGGTTTAAGCCATAGGGCAGCACTTGGGCTACGGGGCTTATTTTTTAAATATTAATAAAAATCCACTCTTGACCTGCTTCGTGAGGTTAAAAAAGCATCGGGAGTGTGAATACGCATTCGTACGAGCAAGGTATCGACCAACAAGCACCAAGGCCAGCTTATGATTTTCCCTGCTTCTCCCGTTTCCGATTTCGTAACAGAAGCCGTGAATTTAAGCCGCTGTGGCCGAGCTGGGCACAGTTTAGCTCCGTAACAGGCAGACCGAGACGCCCTCGGCGTACAAGCACCCCCTGGCACAACCGCGGGCCGGCCAGCGCCCGGCCAGGAGAGGCCCTACGGCCACAGCCCGCCGGA